CGTATTAAGAGATTTTTTTTTTGTTTTTATTGGCTTTTCCTCGTTCATGGCCAAAAGATTTAAAGAGCACAGCTTAGTGTGTAGACAATCACAGTAAAGCTCTTCTACAAGCACCTTTTCTCTGACCAGCCATTAAGCTTTATTTAGAAAGCATCACTCTAGCCGACTCTCAGTCATTTAGTCATTCCAAACCTATTGTCAAATGAGAAACATAGACTAAAGCACACCCAACATACAACCTGAATACAGTATTTGCTAAAGAGTGCAAAAAATGAACTTAACCACATTTCCACCTAATGAACAGCAACAATGTTCACGTATAATATTTCATGGATAAAATTTGCCATGCAATGGACAAAATGTTCATACTAGAGTGTCTTTGGCCCAATAAGCTAACCTGTATTAGTAGAAAATAATATAATATAATATGTTTTCATGAATCATTTTGAATTACTGAAGAAATGTCTGTAATGTCAAATTGTGAATGAACTCGAAACAGGTTGTTTGAGGCTAAATAGTGTAACAGCTGTTGAGGTTAAAAATGACTTTGTCACGTCATTCGTTCAACACGGACTTCTTTCACATGTTCATCTCATGTTGTCTGTAAAGCTCCTCAATCTGTTTTCCCTCCTACCTTCCCATCTGCTGGGAGGAAAGATCTTACCCTTAATCTGTTCAGATCAATAATCATACAACAGCTATTTCTCTTCAACTGTCTAAGTTACTGTAAGTCTAAAGAAAAACAGGTGGCCAACTTCACCATACTAAAATATAGATTTTTACACATAGCTGTAAATGAAATGATATTAGCAGCACCGTGTCAGTGGTTGACTGTGAAACTCCCACCATCACTAATGTGATTAGGTCTATAATCAATTACGTCATTTGGGAATTAGCTGGGACAGATGCAGGGAGGGAGCTGGCTTTAAAAACATGTAGCTCAACAAGACTGTTGGAAAGCTAGCAGATGGTGCCTGAGTTTGGACGTCAGGTTCCTTGGATCAAATGATGTGCATCTGAAGAGTTTCAACAGATATCAGGTAAGTCGAATCTTTATGCTTAATGTTTTTCTGTTATTATGATCTACATGAAGAATTTAAGATTGTATTGTACTATACTTACAATACACAACTAAATAAGTGCATTTTCACGAGTGATTATCAAATGTGATAATATATTATTTTGGTTCAATTATCTATATTACTTTATTATATTAACTGTTTATAAATTCAGTGCATTCGACATAAGGATGCATTCATTTATTTGTACATTGTAAGTAAAGTAGACACGTGATATGTGTAGATATGTGATTATCACATGTAATTAGCATTTTTGCAGAATACAGTATTTATAAGATTTGGTAAGATTTTTTTTAATGTTTTTGAAAGATGTCTCTTATGCACACCAAAGCTTTGAATAAATGCTGTATTTATGATTAAATACAGTAAAAAGAGTAATATTGTGAATTTTTGAATATATCGTAAATTTAATTTTGATATTATATCAAATATTTTGATATTATATTTTTTATTTTGATATTATAAAAATGTAATCATCATACACTGAAGATACATAAAGATACATAGAACATACTGTACATATAAACATGTCAATATATGCAAGCTTACTAATATATATATATATAAAATATATATAAAATTTTCTTTCAGCGTTGTTTACTATAAATTGATTGATATATATATATATATATATGTCTATATATGCAAGCTTACTAATATATATATATATAAAATATATATAAAATTTTCTTTCAGCGTTGTTTACTATAAATTGATTGATATATATATATATATATATGTCTATATATGCAAGCTTACTAATATATATATATATAAAATATATATAAAATTTTCTTTCAGCGTTGTTTACTATAAATTGATTGATATATATATATATATATATGTCTATATATGCAAGCTTACTAATATATATATATATAAAATATATATAAAATTTTCTTTCAGCGTTGTTTACTATAAATTGATTGATATATATATATATATATATGTCTATATATGCAAGCTTACTAATATATATATATATAAAATATATATAAAATTTTCTTTCAGCGTTGTTTACTATAAATTGATTGATATATATATATATATATATGTCTATATATGCAAGCTTACTAATATATATATATATAAAATATATATAAAATTTTCTTTCAGCGTTGTTTACTATAAATTGATTGATATATATATATATATATATGTCTATATATGCAAGCTTACTAATATATATATATATAAAATATATATAAAATTTTCTTTCAGCGTTGTTTACTATAAATTGATTGATATATATATATATATATATGTCTATATATGCAAGCTTACTAATATATATATATATAAAATATATATAAAATTTTCTTTCAGCGTTGTTTACTATAAATTGATTGATATATATATATATATGATTTTTTTTCTAGGTTTTAATGCAGCCTGTGCTTACATTTATTTATTAGACTGGGACGTATGAAACTGGAGAAGCTGGAATACACTTCCTCTTGAATTTCAGTAGGCTGTCACTTTTTGAGAATTTGAGAGACTCAAGTTCGTAAACACACGCTAAAGGAGAGATGAATTCCGTGGTGAAGAAATCCCTGGGCGCCCCCTTCCGACAGCTGAGCAGCTGCGTGAGCGGGGATAAAGACGGATTTAGCCGGAAAGGCAAGACCGTCCGCAGGAAGAGCGCCCCCTGCTGCTACAGTCAGACAGCACACGACTCGTCCTGGTTAAGGACTTACCAAGCAGAACTGCACAGGGAAAGGTACTAAAATACGCTTATAAAATTATTAGACACTTATTATCCGATCTTTATTGCATAATTTATAATGTAATTGTTTGTATTTTGTCTGAGCAGGAAACAGAGGCAAGCCAAATTTGCGCAGAAGAATGCAGAAAGAACCGCAATAAGGGCACATTATAGAAGCCCTCACCGCTTCACAAAGGTACGTTTGTGCTGTTTTTCATCACTTAAAAATGATATGTGCTGAAATAGCAGAATATACTGGCTAACTTATAATATATGTACATTTTTCAGGCACCTGTACAGAGGGCAAGCTTAAAAAGCAAGACCCCCACCAAAAGTGACAACTCTTTTTTTGGTGCCTTCCGGGGACTCAGTCTCAATATGAATGGAGCACAAGCCTCCATAACATCAGCATCAAATGCAGATCCGTGTAAAGTCATGTGACCACAGAGAAGAAACCATTTCAAATGACTCTAATGATGGGACAACTGATTGTTATCCAGTTTATTTCCTGGTTACCAAAAGGAACTTCCTTTGTTGCTGCTAATATCTCAGTTCAATATCTGAGGTGAATTATGACCTACAGATGCTGCATTCCAGGAATATAATCTGATTTGGATATATCATGATAAGATATCATGATTATGATAAGTCATGAGACCTCAATGAAAATCAGGATTTATAATTTAAGAAATAATAATAATATAATAAAAGGTCTTTAGCTATTTAAAAATATAAATAAAACAAAGAAGTAAATTGATAGGCTATTTAATAAATATTTAACATTGTTCACTTTAAGCCACTAACTAAAATCTGAAAATAAATTTGAATGGTAAATTATAAGAGTTTTCACTGGTGGTCTCGGACTCATTGTACAGTATGTGTGGTTTATATGTATTTTCTCCATATTTCTGTACCTCTTGTTTTTTTTTTGAACGCTCAAGTTGTACAGTAACTTTAAAACAACTGAACTCAAATTTGTTTCTCAGATGCCTCAAATTACACCGTTACTCGAACTGGTAAACAACTGAACCAGTTTATGACCGCTTATGTTTCTGGCGTTCTTTTGCATTAAAAATTTCCAATAAAGATGATCTTCATTTTATCATTTTGCAGATAATTTTACCTGAATTTTGCAACATTTTTCAAGTTACATATGTGAACACAGTGAACAAAACTGTGTTTGTCAAACAGGCCTTGGTGCTGTATTTACGTAAGACATGACCGAGCACATTTGGCCATGTTCCCCACCTCTTTGTAGAAAGCCTGTGTACAGAAAAGGCCATGTCTTTAATTATTTCCTCTTGTTCGCCAAAGGTAAAGCATCTCACTTATGCTCAATACCTCAAGCGTGTGACGGAAATGTTACGCCCTTTGCCATATTGTGATGCCTTGTCCGGCTGGAGCGACGAGACAAAAGCATTAAAAAACCCATTATAAACGAGGCATTTGTTGCATCCAGTAGAGACATAATTACGGATTATAATGACTTATACTGTCTTTTTACACGTTGCATCGCGCCGCGACAATTTCTAGTCATGTCCTCTTTTGGTAGGCCAAACAAAGTAGTTTCGCTTTCACAACGAAACACAGCGTCACACACGACGGACTAGAGTGAGCAGCGGCCGGTGAGCTTGAGAACGGAGCGGCCGGAGGGCTTGCGGCAACCACATGTGACGACCCCGGACTGGACTCCACTTCGTCCACGGTGAAAGCCGATCCAGCGATCCACAGCGCGAAGTTGATGTATTTCCTCAGCGACCAGCACGGATCAGCTCCGGGCATGACGAAGCAGATATCGTTCTCTTTTGGAAGGCCAAACAAAGTAGTTTCACTTTCACAACGAAACACAGCGCCTTCACGACATGGTGGCGGCGGCAACAACAATACTACAGCGAGAATAAAAGTTATGCATTCTTTGCGTGAACATTTGGGCGGCGTTATGCAAATCTTCCCACATAGTGAGGTAGACATGTGGGGGCGTGTTAGAACGAGCCGTTTTAGGTAGGCGTGGTTGACTCTGAACTTTTATAAAGAATATCTCTTTGGATTTGAGACTTTAGTCTTTGCGACTTTACAGATCTTCTTTATGCACCAAGAGCTTGTTTACACTCCAAAGAGAAAGGAAAAATTGAAATCGCATCATATGACCCCTTTAAAATGAATGTGTAGCATAGGCTACAGTATATTTCTGCACACGCGCAGAATGTATTTCTAAAGCTCGCAGCAGCCTCAGGTAAATATACCTGTGGGCCTCCAGCGGATTCAGTGTCCTCTAGCACAGGTTGGCCCCGCCCATTTCCTTCCCAGCCGCGCCGCTGAGGTGTGACGCTCTCTTCTTTACCTGTTCATCCCGACAGCTTGTTGAACAGATAACACGCATGTGTCAGCAGAGAGTGAGATAAAAACAGCGCCTGCTTTCAAGAAGCCGATTATACACAAACCTCCGCGGGTTTCATCGCGTTCTCTAACTGACGCGTGATTTGACGACAAGACAACCCGCGCGCTCATTCTGAGGAGGTTTTGCCAGCGCGCGACATGGTTTATGTGTGGAAAGTGGATACGGGGGAATAATATTGACAATAAATGCACTTATTCCCAAAGGAACTTTTCAAGGGCAGATGGGTTCTCCTCGGAAGTTTTGGGATCACGCGAGAGTCCGTTTGCACGGGTAAACTCACAGTAAATACGGTAAAGGGACATGTTTGGGCTTTTTGAAATGCTAGTTGAGACCTAATGCGCTGTGTTCATATATTACTAGAGAAAGAGTTTAAAAAGAAGGTTAAGTTTGCATTATGAGTATTTAAAGAAAAATGTACAAATACATTCATCTTAAATAAGAGTTAAAATCATATTTAGACCTATTCATATTAAGTTTTTGTATACAAACCTTACATGGTTTCCAAATACAAAATTATTTTGAATTTGGAAAGCATCATGTCCTCATTCTTTTCTTGAGACTCCCATCTGCCAAACTAGTCATCAACCTGAACCTGCATTAACATCAGATCTGAATTATGGATGGTGATGGACAGCCTCTGGCTTCAGATGGTGACTCGAAGCTCCAATCCAGAGGTGGCTTCTCCCTAAACAACTGGCGTTCCTCTTCAAGATCTTTACTGCGAGGAGGAGAGGATGTGAGCCGAAGGCTGCTGTCCGTTGTGAACCACCAGGAACACACAGACTCGGGGTCTAGTCCCACCTCAAAATCCCTTGAGGTGACCGCAGGGTTAGATGGCACAACAGCAACCACCACCACCACCTCCACCGTGACCACATCCACTCCGTCTCGCCTCGACAAAGCCATGGCAGAGTCAGCAGGGCCTGCGGGAGCCCCTCAGCCATCCGAATCAGAAGAAAGGGTCTTCGCTGACCAGTCCACATTTCTCCAGAGACAGTTCAGCTCCTTGCTGCAGCCAGGGGTCAACAAGTTCTCACTGCGAATGTTTGGGAGTGCAACAGGTGTTGCAGCCGAGCAGGAACGGGTCAAGTCATTTGGGGTTTGGATTATCCATCCATATAGTGACTTCAGGTGAGTGACGCAGGGGAAAGGGAAAATATGACATGGCAGATCATCAAACAAGGGTAGTGTTGTTGTGAATGTCACAGTAGTCTTATAAGCAAATGTATTTGATTATAGTAATTTGAGCATAGTAATTTTAGGAACAAAATGAATGTTTTTTTTTTTTTTAATACTCTGAATTTTTAAGTCAAGCCAACAGTCGTGTTATTGTGTTTGTTCAGTCCAAGTAGGCTACTGAATAAATGAAATGGGTTTGTGGTTCTAATCCGTTCCACCTCTCCCCAGCATGCATTGGGGCATGTATGATTATGTTTGCTAGTTTTATTTGCACAGCTGCTGTTATTTTGCCATTACTTTTTGTAGCTTGTCAGGATGAGTTAGTGGTTAAAATGATCAGTTGATTGTGGCATTTAAAGTATTTCATTTTGTGTTTTTTCGTCTTATGTGTTACACATAGTGTAACATTACACATGTTACACTTTGTTCTTCCAGTGTTATTTTAGTATAATAGATATACTATTAAAATATTCCTTAATATTTGGATTTAGTTTTTATTTTTAGGTACATTTTTTTTAAATGTACATTTTTAAAAATGTCTATTAAGGTTTTATTTTTAATTTGTAATTTCAACTTCAACGTAGACATGCTTCAAATTAGAAATGTTGCCTTAGTTACTAACTAAAATAAAATAATTTAAATATATATTTTATTTCAGTTAACATTTATATCAGTTAACACATTTTTATATATAGGCCTATTTTGTTTTAGGTAACTATAACAATACTGCTCCATGAACATAGAAAACATGAGATGAAGCACATAATTGTGAATAATTTAACTATAAATATAGAGAATAATTTGCATAGAACTTTTTCTGAACTAGATACAGTGCATGAGATCTTTTAATTATTTAATATAAACTGGTAATTGTTGCAATGATGCAAACTTTAAGTCATGTCAACAAAGGCAAACAAACTGTCAGTTTGCGTACTCAAATTTGTAATTTTATTTATTTTAGTTTTTACAGAATCCAGTCAACAATTATTAGTGGTGCTTCACTGTTAGTCTTGCACACTTAGGGTGAGGAGTGTTACATTTCGGTGCTCAGATTATGCAATTTGTTGATTCAGAATTAAAGGGGTCATGATGTTGCTAAAAAGAACATTATTTTGTGTATTTGGTGTAATAAAATATAAACGAGGCATTTGTTGCATCCAGTGGGGACATAATTACAGATTATAATGACTTATACTGTCTTTTTATGCGTTGCGTTGTATTGCGCCGCGTAAACAAAACCATGTCTGCATTTGTGATCGGAGAAATGACAAACTACAAACGCTACTCTACACTGCTCAAAACTCGTGTTTGAATCATCAGTGGCAAATTCTTTAAATATGAAAAACTTACTTACAGTCTGTGAGTCAGAACAGCCGGCATTGTAGTCTACTCTACCAGGATCAGTAAACAGTCCTCCATAAAATGTGCTGCACACATCTGAGTATTTGGGTTGAAGTGTTCTGGAACGGTGTTGTAAATACAACTTAACCACTGATTTCTAGTCATGTCCTCTTTTGGAAGACTAAACAAAGTAGTTTCGTTTTCACAACGAAACACCGCGTCACACACGACGGACTAGAGTGAGCGGAGGCGGGTGGGCTTGAGAACGGAGCAGCCGGCAGGCTTGCGGCAACCACATGTGATGACCCCGGGCTGGACTCCACTTCGTCCACGGTGAAAGCCGATCTGGCGATCCACAGCGCGAAGTTGTTGTATTTCCTCAGCGTCCAGCACGGATCAGCTCTAGGCATGATGAAGCGGATATCGTCCTCTTTTGGAAGGCCGAACAAAGTAGTTTCACTTTCACAACGAAACAGTGTCTTCACGACATGGCGGCAGCAACAATACTACAGCGAGAATAAAAGTTACGCCTTCTTTCTTTGCGTGAACATTTGGGCGGTGTTATGCTCTCTTCCCACATAGTGACATAGATATGTGGGGGCGTGTTAGAACGAGCCGTTTTAGGTAGGCGTGGTTGACTCTTAACTTTTATAAAGAATATCTCTTTGGATTTGAGACTTTAGTCTTTGCAACTTTACAGATCTTCTTTATGCACCAAGAGCTTGTAACACTCCAAAGAGAAAGGAAAAATTTAAATCGCATCATATGACCCCTTTAAGATTTTTACCTGATAGATAATAAAATGTTTGGAAAAAATAAATGCACTGAAAGAGCCTCCTGGAACCAGATTTTTATTGAAACTTAAGTGTGGACCTAGTATCATGTGGGCGACTTTAAAAAAACAAAAAAAACAAGTACCTCTCATATTTTCTTCAGAATGGGTAAAAATATTTAAAAAGTTAGGGTGGTTGATATATAACAATAGAGAATAGCAGTGATGTGAGAAAACACCTTGCAATTACATGTCATTTTCATTGCTGTCAATAATCACACCATGTCAACAAGCACTTACGCCTCAAATCAGGACATTAAAGCACAAAACTTTCAATCACCACAGTAAAGCACAATGCAAAACAGGTCAGTTACAGAGCTTTCCCTTATAGAGTTACCATTAGCCGGAAAGGGTATCAGCGTTCATGGATGGGCTGGAAAGACCCACTTGGTTACAGAGTGTCATGTTGATGTTCTTTCTCTGAAACACGTATGCAGAGAAAGCAGCAAGATGTAAAGGGATAAACAGATTGTGTTTTCAGAAAGCAAGACATGACCGGTAATAGGAACTCAATCTCTGCACCTTTTTCAAAGTCCAAAGAGAAAAAGATGTTTGCATAAGTAGGAGATCAACACAAAAATGTTTGAATCTTTAATCCAATTTAGGCACTACAATCACCAGTTACATGTCTTATTTTACCATAATTTCTTACATGTGCCAAATCTTTCTTTTAGTTACAGTAAAAAAAAAACTTGAACCAATTACTCCTGTTTTATCAACATGGATCAATTGTGTACTAAATTTCCAAGCTGAGTTGCTGGTAACACTGTTTTTAATTACTTTACTTTAACTCTATACTTACAGATAACATTAAACACTATTTTGTTAAACTAAGAACATCTACTTTTACTCTTTTTAACAGGAAAATGTGACGATGAAGGTGAAAAGATAATTTATCATAGATAATCTCTTTATTTAGTTTGTAATAAATTTAATTTCATTTTTAGTAATTTTACTACTTCAACTTAAACCAAATGAAAAATTTAAATTTTGCCTTGGCTACTAATTTAAGTAAAATATGTTAAGTTTTTTAATATTTTATTTCAGTTAACATTAAATAAATATGTTAAAATATATTTTTAGTTTTAGTTAATGATAACAGTACTGCTATATGTATATTTCTAATAGAAAATGTGATGAAGCACATAATTGAGAATAATTTAAATGTAATTGTAGATAATTAATTGAAGAAAAATTATTATTATAACATTGATGTTTTAAACTGGGATTTTTACTTTTGCACGTTTTACTGGGGAAAATATGATAAAGGTGAAAAGGTCATGACAACTTGAATCTTTTTGTTTAGCTGATGAGTAGTTGACTGATATGAGTATGAGTATAAGACTGATATGTGTTAATAAGCTGTCTAAAATTAAACTCTTAAAAAATCAATGCTGTCAGTAGATTTTAACCACAGATTTATCATCTTTGTCACAAGAAATATCATAGAGTGCATGAAAGTCGTCAGTTTCTTTTAGTGTCAAACCTACCTAGAGCTCAGGTCAATCGTTGTCATCACTGGAATTGTCTGATACTCAACACAACTTCCATTTTATTTACTCTTGCGTTAATTCTTACATCAAATGTAATAATGGCAACCATATGATATAAATCAAATTCAAGAAAGTGTATTAAAAATGCCCATTCATTCCAGGTGACTGACGCTGCTTTGGAAAATATGACCATAGATGGAAACTTCAAACCACCAAGCACATGAATGGTAGTGGGTTAAAGGGCACATATCCAGTTTAAACAGTCAGCTTCTGTACAGTATGTTCATGACTCTCCCATAACCACTTTAGTAATTAACATGAAGAGGAATGTTTTGCAACACGTGTAATTGACGGAATTAGCCTGTTTGCTCAAACTCGTCAATACTTATTTGAATGAATGTCTTATATTGCACTTGAGCATTTGAATCAAACTTTATGTCCATGATGGTTTAATTTGTAATAGCAGACATGCTTTACAGAGTCACATATTTGATTCTTAGAAAATAATATTTTAGTTATCTGCAAACTTTGGGCTGGTTGAATTTCTTTCCACGAAACATGTGATGTTGCCATAGGATGGTGTTTTATTAAGTTACAGGGACAGTCACCCTATAGCGCTCTGAAAGACTGGTTCAAACCAGCGACCTTTAGGTTATCGGCCTGGATCTTTAAACCACAAGGAATAACGAATTGAATTTTTCTCTGCTTTGTTTTTAAAGGGGTCATATGATGCTTTTTTAAAGATTGTTATTTTATGTATTTGGTGTAACAGAATATGTTGACATGCTTTAATGTTCAAAAAACACATTATTTTTCAAATACTGTACATTATTGTAGGTCCTCTATGCCCCGCCTCTCTCAAACGCTTCATTTTCTACAAAGTCCCTCCTTCCAACAAGCGCAGTCTGCTCTGATTGGCCAGCTGACCCAGTGCATTGTGATTGGCCGAACACTGCAAGCACTCGTTGGAAATGTAACGCCCCTTACCATAATCGCGAGCTTCATCTTTCAAAATAAATGTAAAGACAGAGCCTGAAAGGGGAACAGAGTCGCGTGACAGACACAGTGATGAATATGTGTTTGCAGTACACAAGCCACAGTTATTACAGTTGACTCCACTGTGATGTGTCTCGCTCTCTCTCTCTCTCTCTCTCTCTCAACACTAACTGCGGTTACTGAAACCGCGCCTTCTACTCCAAAGAGAAAGAAAAACTTGAAATCGCATCATATGACCCCTTTAATAAATTTTTGTAACCAATGTTTAGTTTCGAGGCAAGAAAGCTTCAAAATTCATACAAAAGAGCTAAATTATTAGTGTTTAGATTACGGATGAATGACACATTGCTTATTGATTGTTATTAATTTTCTTATATTTTTATTTATATTCTTATTATATATATATATATATATATACGGTATTAAATGTCATATATATATTAAATGTCATTATTTAATATTATTTATTTTTAATTATTAAAAATGAATTATTTATATTTAATTGTCTAGTATTAAATATTTAATTGTGCCTTTTCATTTTGCATATTTGTACATTTAGATTAGTCATCTAATTGCATCTAAGATGCTCTTTTACATTAATATTTAAGAACACTAACAATTTATTAACTGTTAAATATAGCAAAATTCTACAACTCAAAATGAATATCCATTTTTCATACTGTACAATATAAAGCTGTGATGCCTACTTTCACTTGTGATTTTAGTTTTTAGTATTTTATTTGTTATTTATTTTGAGAAAATATTGTAGAATTGTAATGTTGACTATTTATCAGTTATTGGCCATAATATATACAAATATTTATATTAAATATATTGTTGCATTGGTGCATCCTTTAATTTGAATGACATGGTTGATTGTAGGTATGAATTTTAATGTACATACTCTAGAATCCATCTTTTGTTCCTTACAGCATGCATCTTCACACAGGTTCTATTGGGACTTGGTGATGCTGTGCCTGATGATGGGCAACCTCATCATTCTACCATGGGGCATCACCTTCTTTGAGGATCAGAACACACTGCCATGGATCACCTTCAACGTGGCCTCTGACACTCTCTTCCTGGCTGACCTCGTCTTCAACTTTCGTACCGGTATTATGGAAGCCGACAACACCCAAATCATCCTGGACCCACAAGTGATAAGTCGGCGTTACCTTCGAGGCTGGTTTCTGGTGGACTTCATCTCCTCCATTCCGGTAGACTACATCTTCCTGGTGGTGGATATAGAAGCCCGGCTTGAGTCGGCAGAGGTGTACCGCACTGCCAGGGCTTTGCGCATCGTCCGCTTCACCAAGATCCTCAGTCTGCTCAGATTGTTGCGCTTGTCCAGACTTATACGTTACATTCATCAATGGGAAGAGGTGAGCAAAAGAACAGGAAGAGAAAAGGATAGAGGAATTTGAGACTAGAATAGCAAAGGAAATATAGTTGCAGAAAATTTGCCAGTTTGACTTTAGTCTGAGGGATACAATAAAATGCACCATGACATTGAATTTTAGAATGACTTGCAAATCAAGCACAACAATATTCCAATGACAAGCAATTTGTCCATCCATAACAAACTGATTCCAAAAAAATCAGTCTCTCCTCGTCCATGTTTGTTGTTAATATACATTAGTAGTAATACTTCAGTTTAATGAGTTTTTAGTGTTTTTTACATTTACATTACATTTGACAGCATATAACAATCATTTAAAGTTAAAGTTTAAATGCACCGATGATTTTAAATAAAATTTATTTTAATTAAATAAAAAAAATTTAGCTACTCAAGATAAATTTTTATTTGGACTAATTTAAGCAAATTTTTATTTAGTTGATTTTGAACTACTTTATAATGTTGTGATGCCTAAATACCCTTGTAACTTTTAAAGTGATTGATTTTTGTCTTTAGTGTTTCATTTTTTAAATTTATTTAGAATTTTAAAATGCTGTTTATCAGTTATAGCCCATAACTTGAAAATAATTCAGAGAAAAGGTACGTTCACTTTAGATAAATTTTGTGGGAAAAATAGATTTCTCTCTAGAAAGCAGATTTCTGTTGATCAACGTGTCAAATTTGTGTGACCAACTTGAACTTGTTGTGAAATCTGTGGGAAAATCTTTTGCCCTCATGTGAAATTCATGATTGTTCCAGTGCATCGGGTGTTATGGGAAGTGTTCCTAGTTCCAATTGACCTAATTAATGCATTCTAACAATCCTTTAACTGATTTATAGAAATGTGATAAGTTTGGGTGCTAAATAGGAAAAAATTCTGCCGCCTGCAGTTGATTTTGATATTCTAGGTGTTATCAAATTTCCAGAGTTTTGAGATTGCAGAGGAAGTGAAGGACTATAAAGTGATATGAGCTCACTCAAGTACTGAGGAGCTAAACCATTCAGGGCTTTATAAGTAATTAGCAAGATTTTAAAATGTATTTGTTGTGGCTAATATGGTCATACTTCCTGGTAGGTAGAACTCTAGCTGCTGCATTTTTGGCCAGCTGGAGTTTGTTTATTAAGCACGCAGAGCAACCACCCAAAAGGATTACAATAATCTAACCTTGAGGTCATGAACGCATGAATTAACGTTTCTGCATTTGACATTGAGAGCATAGGTTGTAATTTAGTTATATTTTTAAGATGGAAAAAAGCAGTTTTACAAATGCTAGAAACGTGGTTTTCAACGGAAAGATTGCTGTCAAATAGTACACCTAGGTTCCTAACTGATGACGAAGAATTGACAGAGCAACCATCAAGTGTTAGACAGTGTTCTAGATTATTACATGAGGGCGTTTTTTGGTCCAGTAATTAACACCTGTTTTTTCAGAATTTAGCAATAGGAAATTACTAGTCATCGTTTTTTTATATCAACTATGCATTCTGTTAGTTTTGCGAATTGGTATGTATCGTTGGGCTGGAACGAAATATATAGCTGGGCTAATATGGTCATACTTCCTGGTAGGTAGAACTCTAGCTGCTGCATTTTTGGCCAGCTGGAGTTTGTTTATTAAGCACGCAGAGCAACCACCCAAAAGGATTACAATAATCTAACCTTGAGGTCATGAACGCATGAATTAACGTTTCTGCATTTGACATTGAGAGCATAGGTTGTAATTTAGTTATATTTTTAAGATGGAAAAAAGCAGTTTTACAAATGCTAGAAACGTGGTTTTCAACGGAAAGATTGCTGTCAAATAGTACACCTAGGTTCCTAACTGATGACGAAGAATTGACAGAGCAACCATCAAGTGTTAGACAGTGTTCTAGATTATTACATGAGGGCGTTTTTTGGTCCAGTAATTAACACCTGTTTTTTCAGAATTTAGCAATAGGAAATTACTAGTCATCGTTTTTTTATATCAACTATGCATTCTGTTAGTTTTGCGAATTGGTATGTATCGTTGGGCTGGAACGAAATATATAGCTGAGTATCATCAGCATAAAAGTGAATGCTAATCCCATGTTTCCTAATGATATCTCCCAAGGGTAACGTAAAGCATGAAAAGCAGCAGTCCTAGCATTGAGCCTTGTGGTACTCCACAAGTTTATACAATTATTCCTGTCCTATTGTAGAGAATGAGTGGAATTGTACCTCTGGGGATCTATAGCGCACTGTCTGATGCGATACTGTAGCTAATGGCTGCATGGTTAGAATTTTATCTCTAATAGTATCAATCTTGGAAGTAAAGAAGTTCTTAAAGTCATTACTGCTGTGCTGTTCGGAAATGTCTGTGCCTGTTAATGCTTTATTTTTTGTTAATTTAGCCACTGTATAGAATAAATGCTGGGAGTTGTGTTTGTTTTTCTCTGAAAGAGATGAAAAGTAACCAGATCTAGCAGTTTTTAGAGCTTTTCTATAAGTAGAATTACTTTCCCTCCATGCAATACAAAATACCTCTAGTTTTGTTTTCTTCCAGCTGCACTACATTTTCCAGGCTGCTCTCTTTAAGGTGCAAGTGTGCTTGTTATACCACGGTGTCGGGCTGTTTTCCTTCTTCTTCTTTAATGAGCAACCGTATCTAAAGTGCTAGGAAAGAGAGAGCCCATAGTTTTTGTTACAACATCAAGTTTTTCCTGAAATACTGGATTTGCTGAGGAATTGAGACAAGTCAGGAAGAACTTTTGTTGTAGAAGTGATGGTTCTACCATCTCTGTAACAAGGAGTTGAATTTGCAGCTTTAGCTAAATGGCATATACACAAGAATATAATGATCCAAGATATCATCACTCTGCTGCAGAATTTCAATGCCAATAACATTAATCCCATGTGACAGTATTAGATCTAAAGTATGATTACGACAATGAGTAGGTCCTGACACGTGTTGTCCGACCCCAATAGAGTTCAGAATATATATAAATGCTGATCCCAATGCATCTTTTTCATTATCAACATGGATATTAAAATCACCAACAATTAAGACTTTATCTGCAGCCAGCACTAGCTCAGATAGCAAATTCTTTGATAAAGTCTGTATGGTGCCCTGGTGGCATGTATACAGTAGCCAATATTGTAGAAGTGATGGTTCTACCATATCTGTAACAAGGAGTTGAATTTGCAGCTTTAGCTAAATGGCATATACACAAGAATATAATGATCCAAGATATCATCACTCTGCTGCAGAATTTCAACGCCAATAACATTAATCCCATGTGACAGTATTAGATCTAAAGTATGATTACGACAATGAGTAGGTCCTGACACGTGTTGTCCGACCCCAATAGAGTTCAGAATATATATAAATGCTGATCCCAATGCATCTTTTTCATTATCAACATGGATATTAAAATCACCAACAATTAAGACTTTATCTGCAGCCAGCACTAGCTCAGATAGCAAATTCTTTGATAAAGTCTGTATGGTGCCCTGGTGGCATGTATACAGTAGCCAATATAAATATAACGTGGGATCTATCATTAACACTTATTTCTCTAGATTATGTTATATGAAGCACCATTACTTCAAATGAATTTTAAACCACAGCTCTGAGAAATACTGAAAATATTACTATAAATTTTAGCAACACCTCCCCCTTTACCTTTTAGACAGCTCATGTTTATAACAGTAATCTTGGGGTGTAGACTCATTTAAAGTAATGTAATCATCTGGTTTTAGCCAGGTTTCAGTCAAACAGAGCACATCTAGGTTATGATCTGTGATCATATCATTTACAAAAAGTGCTTTCGTAGAAAGGAACCTAATATTTATTAAGCCAAGCTTTATCATTTGTTTATCTGTATTATATCTGTTTCTTATTTGTTGAACATCAATTAAATTGTTACCTTTAAATTGGTTTAGACCTTTTTTGTATTTGCTAGTTTGGGGAACAGACACAGCCTCTATAGTATGATATCTAGGTGTAGGAGTCTCTATGTGCTGAGAATTAACTGATTTCTGACGCGAGGCGGCTATCAGACGGTCGGTTAAGCCAGTCTGTCTGCTTCCTGACCTGGGCCCCAGTTAGTCAAGTACAAACTCTAAGACTATGTGCCATGTTTCTAGAGAGAAGAGCGGCACCACCTCTGGAGGGATGAAGACCATCTTTTTTCAAAAGGTCAGGTCTGCCCCAAAAACTCGTCCAATTGTCTATAAAACCTATGTTATTCTGCGGGCACCACTTAGACATCCAGCCATTGAGTGACGACAGTCTGCTATGTACCTCGTCACCACGCTAAGCAGGGAGGGGACCAGAGCATATTACGATGTCTGACATCGTACTTGCAAGTTCACACACCTCTTTAAAGTTACTTTTAGTGATCTTCGACTGGCAGAGTCAAACATCATTAGTGCTAACGTGAATAACAATATTACTGAATTTACGTTTAGCATTAGCCAGCACTTTTAAATTTGCCAAGATGGCAGGCACTCTGGCTCCCGGTAAACATTGGACTGGATATGTGAAATATGTAAAGTTTGCACAGACTCTTTAAAATACATCCAAGAGTTTTACACATTGTGGGGACATTTCCACGCCCCTAAACATGATGTGGCACAAAATGAAACATGATTGGTTGCTTTACATGTCAGTCATATGGCCTCTTGGGTGGTCCTTGGCAATTCAAAGCGGCCAAGGTTCCCAGACCTTCTGCCGTCAGTCTGAAGGGCTGGCTATGCAAGACTATGATTTTGATTAAATCATTCTGTGATGAAGGAGGAGATCAATCATCACAAACTATTAGACATCCTTGGCATTATAAAGTGCAATAATAAGGAGAAAAGATAACATATATTACATGTTTTTCAGACTGTTTTACTGAAAATGATATCTGTTTTTAAGTAACAGTTGTATATTAAATTTAAAGGGGGAACCTATTAGACTTCATTCTTTTTATAAAACTGTTGCTGTCACAAGCTTTCAAATGCTGCTTTGGTGGGCTGCGATGTAAATTAATTTACGCTACTTATAAAAAAGGGGATGAGCCACTAACTTCCTTTTTCAGTGAAACTTACATCAACACATTAAATAACCATTTTTTCAAGTAATATCTGTGCTTAGCTTAAATGTGATATGAATAAACAGTGCTCATAAAGGTTGTTGAGATTGTACTCAATTGAAAACGGGTAGAGGCTTGAAACCGGAAACAGCATTCGATACGTCATGACTTAACAAGCGGATTGAAGTTACTGGATTTTGCCTGTGAAAATTCGCCAAACAACGGTAAATGTGACTGCACCTTCTAGTGCTGACTGTACATCTATCACTTTTTTTTTATAGATCTTCCATATGACCTATGACCTTGCAAGCGCAGTAGTTCGCATAGTGAATCTGATTGGAATGATGCTGCTGCTGTGTCACTGGAATGGCTGCATGCAGTTCATGGTGCCCATGCTGCAAGATTTCCCATCAAACTGCTGGGTCTCCAAAAACAACATGGTGGTATGTTTGAGGATCTTGGGTAGTGTCTCAAAGACACACTAAACTGTTAGCAAACACAAAATGCACTTCTGCTTCTGAAATAAAATCTTAAACTTTTACATTTTGCTTTAAATTTGCCATATGTCTTTCTCTGTCAGAATTCCACTTGGGATGTCCAATACTCCTATGCCCTTTTTATGGCCATGAGCCATATGCTGTGTATTGGATATGGTGCTCAGGCACCTGAGGGAGCAACTGATGTCTGGCTCACGATGATGAGCATGATTGTTGGCGCCACCTGTTACGCCATGTTCTTGGGCAATGCCACCAACCTGATCCAGTCCTTGGATGCTTCCCATCGTCAGTATCAAGAGAAGGTACTAGTTGCTCAGTAAAGCATTTTTTGAGTCTTTTCCCCCTTTTGTCAACGGTTTTGTTGTTTGGTTTGTTACAGTACAAACAAGTGGAACAGTACATGTCCTTCCACAAGCTGCCGGCTGACATGAGGCAGAGGATCCATGATTATTATGAGCATCGCTTCCAGGGCAAGATGTTTGACGAGGAAAATATCCTCGAGGAACTCAGTGACCCGCTAAAAGAGGTTTCTCTTATATTTTTTCTTTCATGTTTTGGTCAGATCTTTCATGTAACTTGCTCCACCTCAGAAATGACTTTTCTTTTTTGGTTGACGTAATTAATTCACGGTTGTGCTGCTCACAAGGTCAGTCACACGATTGTCATCTGTAAACAAAATGTCTGTTTTTGCTTGGACAATTAATTGATTAATATTTAATGTAATAATAGGAAAATAATATCCTATTTATTATTTGATTATTGAAATATCCTAGGTAACACTATATTTTAAGGTGTCCTTGTTACATATGTTACATGTACTTACTATTATAATAACGATTAATTATGCATAATTACATGCAAGTAACCCTAAGCCAAAGCCTAACCATATAGTAAGTACATGGAGTTAATTAATATTACTCCGTACTTGTATGTATAATTGCACTGTAACAAGGACACCTTAAAATGTAACCAAATCCTATTTAAAACAGGTAAATTGATGTGCTGTGTTTTAAATGGTTTTCAGTCTTGCATTTTATCTCCCAAAATAATGATCATTTTGTCATTTAAAAAATGTGAAAATGAGCAGAAATAAGTTAACACAAACTTATTTTCATAAGGTGAACATTTGACCAGACTACTTGTTTGACTAGTAAAATTATTAGTTGTGCACACACTAGTTTATATAAATGTATATAATAAATATTGAAAAAATTATTTATTGCATGCCATAATAACGGCCCATTTCAATGGCTTACAACTTATGACCAAAGATGTGGATTTGGACAACAATTAAGTATTAACATAAACATATAACATAACATATAAAATAAATTGACATGATGAAGACTTAGATAATGCCTTTCTAAAATCTTGCCAATAGTTTGAGTAAATTTAGTAAATCAATGTTGGTTAATGTAATAAAGGTTACAAGGTTTTGTGTCTCATTATCTCTTAACATGTCTCAATTAAAAATGACAAATCCTTATCCATAAACTCCTTAATCTTAGGTCAGAACTAAACTGTCCAGTGGATTGGTAGATTACAATAGTATTCCTAATCCATTTTGTATTGTGTGTTTGACCTGCAGGAGATAGTGAACTATAACTGCCGTGGGCTGATGGCTAACATGCCTCTCTTTGCGAATGCTGATCCTCACTTCGTCACAGTGCTCCTCACAAAGTTACGCTTCGAGGTCTTTCAGCCAGGTGATATAATCATCCGTGAAGGGACACTTGGTCGTAAAATGTACTTCATCCAGCATGGCTGCGTCAGTGTGATCACTCATGACAATAAAGTGAAGACACTGAATGACGGCTGCTACTTCGGGGGTGAGTTTGATTTTTTCCTTGCTTTTACAAGATTTAAAAAATGTGTTATCTTTATACACAGATGTTATAACAACAGACTATTGATACAAAACTGATTTGAGCTGATTGTTTGTTCTTTTCTAGAAATCTGTCTGCTGACCCGTGGACGTCGTACAGCCAGCGTCAGAGCCGGCACATACTGCAGACTTTATTCACTGAGTGTGAGCAGCTTTAATGAGGTCTTAGAGGAGAACCCATTAATGAGGAGGGCGTTTGAGAGTGTAGCAGTGGACCGTCTGGAGCATGAGGGAAACGAAATTGTGCATTCACACAAGAGTGTGGAGGATGATGGGGACTAATGGACTCACCGAAGATGACTGAATGCAGAAAAAAAAACATGGTGTTACAGTGTCCATATAATTGACATTAATGACAATGTACAGTTGCAGTATGGTGTGATTTAATTAAAATAGTTATTTCTTATTCTTAATTTGACAATGCAATATATTGGAACATAAAAATAAACTATGTCAGTCCTGTAGATTTGATAATGTTTAGTTGGCTCTTGAGATACTGGATCCATGCAATTAATTTCAGTCAGAAACCATTAGTTTAGCAGGGACCTTGATGAATGGGGTATAACAATATGTATGCAGCAATATATATTATAATACAAGTGCATTAACGATACAATAAAATTAACTGAACATAGCACAAAACATACCATAACATTACAAAAGCTTTTGTTTCTAAATTTCTACTAAGCTCCTTTAGTTTCAAGGAATAGTAGCCCTTAGTCAAGGAATTGCTCTGTAAATTTTGCATTTATCAAAATATCTCCAAGGCAGATTTGAATATGTTAACTAAGTACAACTCAATGTTTAACTCTTTAATCTTGATGTCTTTGACATTGCTTTCATTAAAAAACCTCCAGGCAGCCACCAGCATGTAACAGTGTTGCGCTTACTCGAGCTTTCATTATTGTTGTGCTGCTGGTGGAAGGTCTCTGGATGTATCATGTGGAGACAAACAGATAATCAAATCGAGGTAAATCAATGAAAAAAAAGTGGAAAATAACATTTCTATTAGTTGTTTTATAATACAATAATATACTGAATTCTATCTGCTTTCCGGATCAACACTGAGCACTTAAGAATCATGCACTGTAAGAAAAGATGTCTGCTAACTGAAAGACATGGATGAGCTTGGACATCTGCCCATTGTCCTCTCAACTTCAAATTCAAGTATTAAACAATATGAGTCACATATTCACTGATTAAACTCATTTACGTTTGGCCTGAGCCCTTTCTTGCGACAATCGATTAGGATGAAAATAACCCTTTGAGAGGAGGTATTTTTCAAATGTGCTTTTGAGGAAAATATTTACTTAGGAGCAAGTGATATATGTTCATTTTAAATTATATTTTGTTAGTAACATTTCTACGCTTCTCTGTTGTTGGAAAGAAAAAGAGAAATATTATCCCACATAATGTGTGAAATTATAGAGATGAATGAGGAGTATTATGAAAAAGCAACTGAGATTTTGAATGTAAATGTTAATTTGATGTGTTTCATATGCCACTATATTATTAACTGTTAAATACAATTGCTGTACATGAGTCTATATACAGTTTGGTAGAATATTAAGTTTACCAGCTTAATGTGTCATTATTATTTACAGGGAATTACAATTTCCTTTATTTAATTGTTTTCATACCAAACACTAAATAAAACTGCACTTCAAACCAAATAAAGTGGTTTGTACTATTTATACTTGGGGTGAAATAATATGACTATGAAGTATTTGACTATGAAGAAACATTTTTTGGACGATTAAACCAGACATAAAATTGTATTGGATAGATAACAGAATATAAAATCAAGTGTCTTCAAGTGTACACAGATATCAGTGGTTAGTTAGTTAGTTTATTTATTTATTTAGGGGCAATTGAAGGCTTTAAGGCACTATTTTACATTAAACTGTGCAACAGCGCCTCCACACATAACAGGTCAAAGCTGTTATTACATCCGGGTGGGTCGCTATATTCGTCCCGCTGTTATATATATTTATAACGCGGAGGGAGCTCACGAAGGTAAGCAGCGGTTAGGCTTTTTCACTTGAGTTTTCTGTTTGCAAATCAAGGTTTTGACAGTTTCTCAGTTTTTGACAATCTCACATACCTTCTGTAAATAAATCCAAACATTAACGTCGTGCAGTGCCGCGGTCCCTCAAATGTCATGAGTGTGAATATATACTGGAGGTCACTGCGGGACGAGTCCGTTTTCAACGGGTTAACTTACTGTACAGTGTCTGAGAGAGTTTAGCTTGTGTGTTTATGTAATCATGTATAATATGGAGGCTTCTTTGATCTATATGGATGTGTGTTTATTGCCGCAGCTGAACTATTTACACTTTCCATCTCTTGCCTTGCGTAACTGTTCCCTTCATTAAAGATGCATTTTGAGGGCTTTTTATTAGTTCATGTATCGAGAATATAAAATCAAGTGTCTTCAAGTGTACACAGATATCAGTGGTTAGTTAGTTAGTTTATTTATTTATTTAGGGGCAATTGAAGGCTTTAAGGCACTATTTTACATTAAACTGTGCAACAGCGCCTCCACACATAACAGGTCAAAGCTGTTATTACATCCGGGTGGGTCGCTATATTCGTCCCGCTGTTACATTTTATAACGCGGATCCAGGGAGCTCACGAAGGTAAGCAGCGGTTAGGCTTTTTCACTTGAGTTTTCTGTTTGCAAATCAAGGTTTTGACAGTTTCTCAGTTTTTGACAATCTCCCATACCTTCTGTAAATAAATCCAAACATTAACGTCGTGCAGTGCCGCGGTCCCTCAAATGTCATGAGTGTGAATATATACTGGAGGTCACTGCGGGACGAGTCCGTTTTCAACGGGTTAACTTACTGTACAGTGTCTGAGAGAGTTTAGCTTGTGTGTTTATGTAATCATGTATAATATGGAGGCTTCTTTGATCTATATGGATGTGTGTTTATTGCCGCAGCTGAACTATTTACACTTTCCATCTCTTGCCTTGCGTAACTGTTCCCTTCATTAAAGATGCATTTTGAGGGCTTTTTATTAGTTCATGTATCGATTATGGTACAGTGTTGAACCTCAAACGTTTTGTGAATAAATTTTATTTGCTATTATTATTTTGGGATGTTTAGTTCTTCCCTCCGGCCGACTTGTTCCCAACAAACATGCAAACATTTGATTTTGTGAACATTTATTGCAACAATAACATTAGAAATCCTTTTTTTATATGTCGTTTTCATTTTTTTAATGATTGGTAATTTTGTTTTTTATTTGTATTATTTGTTATAATTGTTATTTTATTATTATTATTTTTAGTATTTCTACTTGATTTCAGTTTTAGTAATTTTTGCACTTCATATTAAACATATTTCAGTTAGTTGCCAAGGCAACATTTTAGTTGTCATATAGATTTTTTTCCAGAACTTTTTATCTAATATTTATATTTAATTAAATTTTAGCTTTATTTTAATTACCAAAAACTATTTTTAATAGTTTCAGTTTTAGTTAATAATAATGGGTCATTAGGACTGGAATTGTTATTAATGTGGTACAGCTTTGGTTATGAGGAAACTTTCATGCTCATTGTACCATCCATCTCTTTCAGATAAGATGTTGTCCTGTCTCGGTTGTCCCGTTCTTAGCCGGGTTCTCACCACTGGGGCTTCACGTGCCCCGGTTGCCGTGGTTGCAACTGGTGCATCATGCACTTCTGTAGCCGCCAGCTCTGCCTCTCCCCCAAACTCCATGACACTTGTGCGATACAACAGCAGCACAGCTCAACAGGTGACTAGTTACTCATATCCACTGTCTGCATGATTGATGATCAATGGAAACTGGCTATAATCAGTATGTTTCCTCTAGGAAACACCAAAGAAGACCAAATTTGGACCTCTAGCTGACCAGGACAGAATATTCACTAACCTTTATGGACGACATGACTGGAGGGAAAAAAAATATGAAATTTTATTATGAATTATATCTAAAGACAGGACTAGGGATGTTCATTTCGGTTATTTTTCCTAACCGACAACCGACGCTCGTTAACCGATTTTTAACCGTTAACCGACAAGATTATTTTAAATTAGAATTGAATTAAATTAGAAAGGATAAGTGTCTGTGACCTGTTAAAAAATACTAACATTATTCATTTTACATGCGCAAAAAGCAGCAAACAACAGAACATGAGGATTAGGGATGGGCGTATCGATCCAAAGTATCGATATATCGATACTGACGCGAGTATCGAAAGTATCGAATCTCAAACTAAAAATATCGATACTAAGGTGTGTTTTATTTACTAGTGATTTTGTCAAATGCAGCACTTCTGCAAGCGGAGAAAAACATAAAGCTAGGCTATTATATATATATTAGGGCTGTCAGTTTAACGCATTAACTTAATTAGCTATGAAAAAATAATGCAATTAAAATATTTTAAGGCAGTTAACGCACTGGTCCCGCCCCCAGACCTGTACATCATCTTACAGTTCATACAGTTGACTGTTGACAAATGCAGAGCAACAACTCCATAAACAAAGTTATGCTCTAAAATTCAAGATATTGGGGCAAAAAATACCTCTGTATGAGTTTTTGGCTCATATTTATATCATATGATAAGCGACATCACACGAGCAGCGAGAGCAGTAGGCTATCACACGAGTGCTGATTTTGTCCCAAATATCACGAGATTAAATGTGATTTTATACAACAGTTCAGTAAATAAGTATTGTTATAGTATAAAAATAATAGTATTGTTTTCAATACTAAAAACAATTTTTTTTATACACGTAGCGTATTTTAACCATGCAGCAAACCTTTTTAAATATTTATAAATTACTGAAAAGATAAATAATTAAATTACTTTTTAAACCGTTTAACTGATTGTATTATGTATGAAAGCGTATTTTCTCTATGGAATAAAAAAGGTAAAAAAAAAAAAGGTAATTGTTACTTTATCTACAGTTCAGACTTTTCTCATGAAATTGCAAGTTCATGTCTGACAATTCACTTTTTTCTCAGAATTGCAAGTTTACATCTCAAAATTGCGAGCTACACACACACAACACACACAACATATATATATACACACACACAACACACACAAACGCATAAAAGACTATATATATATATATATATAATTATTATTGTCACCATAGTGCATGTTTTTAATGTGATGAATTGTTCATATATCTCAGGCTGAAGGGTGCCCTGAGGAGAGGTGACTGGTACAAGACCAAGGAGATTTTGGATAAAGGAGTGGACTGGATCCTGAATGAGATTAAGGTCTCAGGGCTGCGTGGCCGAGGAGGTGCAGGATTCCCCACAGGGATGAAGTGGGGCTTCATGAACAAGCCCAGTGATGGCAGGTAGTTTTTCATCTCAACAATTAGCGGGTTTCATAAGTCACATGACTCTGCAAAAACAGATATAAATTCTTGGCCAGTGGAACTACATTTAGCTCTTTTCATTAGAATCAAATCAGGTCATACAAAAGCATACGAGTTTCTTTTTTTTACCCTCTCAGGCCTAAATATCTGGTAGTGAATGCTGACGAAGGAGAGCCCGGTACCTGCAAGGACAGAGAGATCATGCGTAACGATCCCCACAAGCTGATTGAGGGCTGTCTGGTGGCTGGCAGGGCCATGGGAGCACGAGCAGCCTACATCTACATCCGTGGAGAGTTCTACAATGAGTCGTCCAATCTGCAGGTGAAAAAGAAAGGTTGTGATCCCTCATATATCTGTAACATAATTCATTTTCAGAGACAGGAAGAAAGATTGTTTATTGCTAAGCTCCATTCCAGAACCTAATAAGCTGCCTATGGAGGCATCATAGACATGCTTCTGATGTGAAGCCTTCAAAAGGCCTGAATAATGAATAGAATACTGATTAATAAATAAATTAAAATAATAATGATAAATTCATTAATAAATACTAATATTATAACTTTGTTACATTGCACTACCATTTAAACATTTTTGAAAGAAATAATGTATTTGATTTGATTTATTTTTGCAAGGATGCATTAAACTGGTCAAAAGTGAGAGTAGAGAATTATAATTACAAATTGAATGTTTCAAAATATTTATATATCAATTAAATGCTGTAATTTTGAACTTTTTATTCATCAAAGAATCCCGTAAAAAATTTATCATGATTTCCACAAAAATATTAGGCAGCACAACTGTTTTCAACATTGATAATAATAAGAAATATTTCCAAATCAGCATATTAGAATGATTTCTGAAGGATCATGTGATACTGAAGGCTACTGAAAATTCAGCTTTACCATCACAGGAGTAAATTACATTTTCAAATATATTAAAGGTGCACTAAGTGATATTTGAAAAACGCTTTTGACCAGTGTCGGACCTAGTCCCAAAACACTTGCAGCCAATCAGCAGTAAGGGGTGTGTCTAGTAATGATAGGGAGAACAGCGCTCAGTGAGTGCACAGGACGGATATTAGCAGATCGACTATAGATAGCGAGAGATGGCAGTTAAAAAAAAAAGAGGAAATTTTTGGAGGAACAACACATTAAAAAGAAGGGTTATGATCAGGCAAGAGGTAGGACCGTGTAAATATTGGAGCAGCTTTCCAGTGGTGGAGAGAACTCAAGGAGCGGGAAGGCCTGGAATCGGATGCCGAGGCTGCTTTGTTTCTTCTTGATAAGCGAGTTACGTTGATTTTGCTTTTTCGCACAACTATTCTGTGTTGGCTTTTGATTGAATATGCCGTGGCCGGCAGGCATAGCAGATTCCTCCATCATCGCTGCCAGGGTTGTGTACATACGTGTGGGGCAGAGTTATCAAAATAGGGGCGGTCCTGTTGGGGTATAAGCGAGTTTGTTTTGGTGCTTTCAAATATCAACATCGTTTGGCAAAAATCGCTTGGTACACCTTTAAAATACAAAATAAAATAAAGTAGAAAACATTATTTACTATTTTTAATTGAAATAATATTTCACAATATTGCTGTATTTGGGGTTAAATAAATGCAGCCCTGGTGGGTAAAAGAGACTTCTTTCAAAAACATAAAATAACCATATTGTTATTCAGAGGGGTTCATTTTGGAGTAAATGGGATAGAATGTACTACACAGTAGTAGAGGGAAGTAATGTATTGACCTCATGTGTTTATGTGTGCTTACTCTCAGGTGGCCATTAACGAGGCCTATGCAGCAGGGCTGATTGGCAGGAACGCTTGTGGCTCAGGTTATGACTTTGATGTGTTTGTGATGCGCGGTGCGGGAGCGTACATCTGCGGAGAGGAGACGGCTCTCATTGAGTCCATCGAGGGAAAACAGGGAAAACCTCGTCTGAAGCCCCCTTTCCCTGCTGATGTGGGTAAGTCAGAAACAAGCAAATGTTCTTTTTTGATTTTCTTTTTTAATGTATTTGTTATATTATATTTTATTTATTTTATTTTATATAAGTGACATGACATAAGTGACATGTTTGCAATGTGTTAATATATAATAATTAAATTTTTTTGTATAAGTGACATGTTATAAATGTATAAAACAAATAATAAATTTTACTTAGAATGACCAGTTATAAATTTGACCTGTTCTTTTTGCAAGTGTGTTTGGCTGTCCAACAACCGTTGCTAATGTTGAGACAGTAGCTGTGGCACCGACCATCTGCCGTCGTGGTGGCACGTGGTTTCTGAGTTTCGGCCGAGAGAGAAACTCTGGCACAAAGCTCTTCAACATTTCAGGCCATGTCAACAACCCCTGCACGGTGGAAGAAGAGATGTCCATTCCCTTGAAAGAGCTGATTGAAAGACATGCAGGTACACCTCATTCCATCTGTACACGGAAATGTTTGTTCATGGTCTAATCATGTGTGATCTTAAAGATTATTGAGCCTTCATTGATATGATCTCTGTAGGTGGTGTCCGGGGTGGTTGGGATAATCTTCTGTGTGTTATTCCTGGTGGCTCTTCCACACCACTAATCCCACGTCATGTGTGCGACACCGTTCTCATGGATTTTGATGCCCTCATTCAGGCTCAGACCGGTCTTGGCACAGCTGCACTTATTGTCATGGATAAATCAGTATGTTTATTTGTAAAATAACTAGGGCTGACCATTTAACAGGTTAATTTTGGTGTGATTAATCATCAAAAAAAAAAGAATGTGTAATCGTGCCGATTGTATCAAAAAATAATGTGTTGAAGTTATTAACCCAGGCCCAGACTTGTATTTCATCTTATATTGCATGCAGTTGGTGACAAACATGATTCAGAAAGATGAATGGCAAAGACAAATTCTTTTTAAACCCATTAATCTCATAGCATTATTTATGCGATTCTAATTGCGGTGTAAATGCATTCATGAGCAGTCTGTGTAAATATACTTAAATGCTACTTCATATGCAGATTTTGAAAACAATGTTATGGCCACATTGTAGCCTTGAAATTTTATGTGTAATAAATTCTATTAGCATTTATATTTTTTAGAAGATCTGTCTGATAATTTGAGTGTTTGACCATTTGATCACAAGTTTTCCCGCTTCACAGACTGATGCTATTCGAGCTATTGCCCGCTTAATGGAATTCTACAAGCACGAGAGCTGTGGGCAGTGCACTCCTTGCAGAGAGGGTAAGAATTACTGCAAATTTATGTAAATATACATTTGTCAGTATTTACATGTATAGTATGTTACATTACAGTGAATATTTACCAGTCTGTCTTTTCTGTGCCCTTCAGGAGTGGACTGGATGAATAAGATGATGTGGCGCTTTGTGAAAGGCGATGCACAGTCAGCAGAGATTGACATGATCTGGGAGATCAGCAAGCAGATTGAGGGGCACACCATCTGTGCTTTGGGAGATGGAATTCTTTGAACCCTTTTTGCAAATCTATCCCATCGTGGTGATAGATTCAACATCATACTCCTGATTGTGGATGACTTGTGACGCATTAAAAAAAGAGTTTGAGCAGATGCATCACTCAGATGCATAACTGAGAAAAGGGTTATGGTTGATGTAATTATGTTAAATCCCATTATGATGTTAATGCCATTTTTCTTGATAAGAAAATCTTACACTGTATAAATACTTATTTGTGGAAATAAAGAGCCTAGAACTTGAAACAGTGCTTGTTAATCTGGGGTTATAGGAGAATGTGTTGTAATTTATAGATTTAAATGACTATAATTGTGTACAAAAGTCTCCAAAAATATGAAACATGTCTTCTTGTAGCATCCAGTCAGAGCAAAATCAGAAAAGATTACATGACTTTGAACATAAATAGATTTCGCTGACTTTCTAGGCATGAAAATCACCGGTTCTCTTTTCCTTTTTTTTTTTTTTTAAAGGTGACATATCGGGTCCCCGGTGCATCTACCAACCCAGAAAGTGTCAAAAAGAAGAACCCAGTAAAATTTTAAGCCTTTCTCTGCAAGCATGTGGGAAAAAAAACGAGCCGATCAGATTTCTCTCCCCCTGTGAAGTAGAAAGGGGATCTTATTATAATATCACCGCCCCTCAATCTGCACATTATATAGAGTCCCAGCCTCAGGAGAGCAGTGGATTTATTTATTTATTTTCTGAATATTACGCTGCTGCCACACAGATCTAAAATAAACATGCAATTTCTTTCCCAGCTGTTTACCTTCACAGACATCCGTCTGTTTTTGTAACTCGTGTGTTTTTAACATTAACTTCTGCGTATTTGACAGTTTAAGCGCAATAAGACATGAAAGAGAACATGCCTTGTGACAGCCGCTTTCTGTGTGCGTGCTTCGGATGTGTGCTCCCAGAAAAACTAATATGGCTTTAAAATGCATGATTTCAGCGCGATATACATGATGATAATCAAAACCAAACAGATGTTTTATTTTAGCAGATTATCTGAGGCACCAGCTGCAAATAGGGATGGGCGGATCGATCCTTAAATATAGATACTTTAGATACTGATGTTGTATCGAAAGGATGGTCCTAACATAAAAATATCGATTCTAAAGTGCATTTTTTAACCATGAATTTTTTTAGATTATTTACTTATCAAGAAATTCGGTGCATAAAATAAGCTTCTAAGTGGAAAAATAGACTATATTAGCGAATTATTGTGTTGGATAGAACCATTTCTCCTGCTCATCAGAACACGCAAATGCTGAAAGACAGAACCAATCAATCAGACAGCGTTCGCTGCTGACGCTTCGCTCACAGTGCTTGTTCAAATAGGGCTGCGTTTCCCAAAAGTCATGTAATATTTATTTTAAATTGGCTAGATGTGCAAGTAAATTTATTTAAACTGGTTGTTAAAAGTACAAATGGATTGTGTTATGTTCTGTAATTGCTGTTAATAAATCTGTCAGTAACCACAGTTTACCACTGTTTTATTACAATAACCACAGTTTACCAAGGTATTTGGTGTAAAACTGCAGTAACCACAAATTTACCATGGTAATAATAATAATAATACATTTTAGTACTTATGTAACACCATGTTTATTTTTCATGAGGTACCTTCAAAGGGGGACCTTTGTAACTTATCTACCCTTAAAGCATGCATACTTGTATGGTACTAATATGCTCACTTTTAGGGGTATAGTTGCACCTTTGAGGTTACTGCCCCAGTAAACGGCTAAAATACAATTATAATATATTTTATTTCTGACAGTGTAAACAAAAAATGCCTATGAAATGTTAAACACTGCTTTAAAATCTAATATTAAGTGAGTATAATTACTGATTATACATTCTTTTAATAATTTAAAAGATCAGTTTTGTTTAGAAGTATCGGTATCGATATCGACGATACTGGGCTTGAAAATATCGGTATCGGATTGAAAATAAAATAAGTGGTATCGCCCATCCCTAGCTGCAAAGGCACAGCCCTATTCTGGAAAAGGGGGCGGGGAGCAGCAGCTTATTTGCGTTTAAAGATACAGGCACAAAAACAATGTTACTGCTTCCAGTAATGACTAAATGCTTAAATGACTAAATGCTTCCACTCTGCAGTTTCAAAATGGGCTATTTTGAGCTGAAACTTAACAGACACATTCTGGAGACACCCGAGACTTATATTACATATTGTAAAAAGGGGCATAATATGGTTCTTTTAAGCATAAATGATGAGCCAATCACAAGATTGGAAAAACCATACCAAAAATCAGCCAATCAACGCCGCCATTAGGCCTCGATCAACCTGCTTGTTTTTTTGACGTTGACATCCTAAGTCGCTTTTCCACTATCGGGCCGAACGGTTCTGAGAACTGTCAGGTACGGTTCCAGTTGTATTTCCACGTGAGCCTGGTACGGCGCGGCACGATTACAAACCGTTCTCGGCCCGGAATTCTCGGGCCGGTTAGACTACCGTGCTGAGCCCATAGACTGTATAAAAACATGGACGTAGTGTCCGTGGCATCACCCGTAGAGTTCCAAGAGCCTTTTTGAAGCCTAAAGTGGGCGGAGCGGGCCGTCGCCATCTTTGCAGCGCGTCACTCCCGGATAATCGAAAATGGGCAAAGAGGCGGGAGCTGGGTGCTGAAACCACGCCCACCTAGCTCGACGGCAGTGTCAGCAGCGGCAATGCACCTGTCACTCAAGTGGCCACGCCCTTAATTATGCAGAACTTTAAGGCTTAATATAATTTAAACGGATGAGTTATAAAAAAAATTCACCCCCTCACAGTTGTCATGAAGGGCAAAATTAGCTATATAGACCAAAATAATTTTTGTAAACATGTTTTTTTCTGCTGTAAAGTTGGGCATTTTAACATGGGGAGTCTATGGGATTGACTCCCTTTTGCAGCCAGCCTCTAGCGGCCAGTTGACGAATTACAGTTTAAGTCACTTCCGTGTTGGCTTCACGAGAGAGAGCGGGAGGTTGCCGCTTAGCTGGGCCGTGCGTGTGCGTGACGTCGCCACTCTGTTGCCTGCCTACCAGTTTCTCCATAGCTGGCTAAGCGGAAGCACGCTATTTGATCAAACAGTCAAGTAAACGCTCCGGTTACTATCGTAACCTCGGTTCCCTGAGTGCGGGAACGAGACATCAAGGAGATATTTCTCCGTTATGGGAACTCCTTCCCTTCCAACCTTTCCTGAAGTCCTATTGGCTCCCGCCAGTCCAAACGACTGGCCAATTGACGCGAAGTATGCAAATCGCATGCAAATACTGACGAGCTCGAGCGGCAGTATAAAATGCGGTGCACACGACAATTACGTCAGAATCTGATACTGAACGCAGCTTTAGCGGGAGCCAATAGGACTTCAGGAAAGGTTGGAAGGGAAGGAGTTCCCATAACGGAGAAATATCTCCGTGATGTCTCGTGAAAGCTCCAGAGGGAACAGCTAGGCTACGTGCAATATAAAAAATAAAAAAAAGGTCTGAGACAGTTTGGTCTGTGGAAGAAACATTTGCCGTCGTCGCCTTCTGTTTATTTTATTTTTCGCGTCAAGAGTTGTGTTTTTTCCCCCTGTTATTTAACGAAGTAAATATCGGATAAAAAAGGAGTCCCAAAAACAGAAATATCTGATCATCGTCCATATGGCTGTTTACATTACACTTGCGTTACCAAGACAACGACTGACGCGTTTGTATTACATTCCAAAGAACTCCGTTATGAAAATGAAACCGTATCCGTGCTGACTGGCCCGGAACGGCACGGAATGGAACGGTTAGGCAACGAGAACCGTTCGGCCCGATAGTGGAAAAGCGGCTATAACGCTTCAGCTTGTAGACGACCTCGATTTTACACTTGTGCATTTTTGCGTTGGCAAAGGTAAGATGATCTGTTTCTAATTACTGGGATAGGATACTGTGGCTGTTATTATGGACATGCTGTAGTTTGAAGTAAGTTTAGCGGGTTTCTCAACCCTGCCAGGCTGCCAATATAAATAATTAAATTAGTATAATTGTTTAATGCAGCGATTCTCAGCAACTTACCTCAGGTACTCTTGGCGCATGCTGGGGGTCACACTTGAGACTTGGGTTCGAATCTGGCGGTTCTTATTCAATTCCTCGATTCTTGATGTAAATTGCTTAGAGTAATTAAAAGAGATGATGACTCATTGAAGATTTAAGAACTGTAGAATATATTAGGACCTTTTTGGGGAATGTCGCAATTTCAAAGCCTGTTAAAATGTCTGTTTTACACCAAAATATAAGAAAAAAAGGCAAAGAAGCTTGCATTTTAAGCCTAAGATTTTGTTTTCAACTCAACTTTATTTCCCCCATTACTCTGTGTATCTTGATATTTTACTTTCACTATCCTCAATAATGTTTTTCATTACAGAAATACAGTAGTTTTTAACTGTATATTACTAAATCAATGGTATGCTAAATAGTTTTAAAGGCAGTACAACAAATACTACCATGACGGTTTTTTGTTTTTTTTGTAATATAAATTTGGTGGGAAATGAGCTTAATTGTCATGAAAATAATGTCATAATCTAAAAGTTTAGGCTTCTTTTTCTTTCAATGAGCAAAATCCCATTTTTTTTCTTTTGTCTTTTGATTTTAGAGTGAAGTATGACCTTGACAAGTTTTGTGAGAATCACCCTTTTAATTTGGATTTCATTCATATTTATTTAATGTTTATTGCTATAAAATAACAAAATCACACAAATCAGTTTTGTGATTAAGTTTTAATTTATAGAATGTTTTTTAAACGCTAAGCTGTTAGAAACAAATGTGTACTCAACTTAGAAATTAATTACCATACATTTGAATCTTTAAAGAGTCATTAACAGTGTGAGAGTGTTGTTTTTCGTTAAAAGGTAGAAATTCATTGTTGTCTTAACATCAGAACTGTGAATTAGCAGTATCAACACCCTGTTTCCAAAAAGTCACATGAGTATTCCATGCTTCCTCTTCCCAAACACTTGTGGTTGAGGCAA